GCTTCTGGAATTTTCAGGGGATGTAACTAGTAGAGTTTATAAACAGGGGGTGGTCACTGGATGTGGTTTACTTGGATTTCCAGGAGGCTTTCGATAAAGGTTCAGAGAGATTAGCATGTAAAATTAATATGCATGGGATTCAGTATAGTGTACTGACATGGACAGAGAACTGGTTGGCCGATAGGAAATAGCAGGAATAAACAGGTCTGCTTCCAATTGGCAGATAGTAACCAGTGGACTACGGAGCTGGGACCCCAGCTATTCACAATCGATATTAATGATTTAGACGAGAGAACCTGACATAATGTCTCCAAGTTGGCACCCTCCCAACTTGGGGGAGGGTGATTTATGAGGAGCATGCAGAGATGCTTCAGTCAGGACTAGCCAATGTAAACACAGGAACCAAGGATCACATCCAAGGATTACCAAGTATGCCACTTAGGCCTGAGATGTGGAGAAATGTCTTTACCCAGAGGGTTGTGAGTCTGTGGAATTCATAAATAATAGATCATAGTATCCCTACAAGTCAAGAAGTCCACACCAACCCTCGGAGCATTCCACCCAGACACATTCCCCTATAACCCACCTAATCTACACATCCCTGAACACTACAGGCAATTTAGCACAGCCAATCCACCTAGCCTGTACACCTTTGAACTGTGGAAGGAAACCCATGCAGACACAAGGAGAATGTGCAAACTCCAGACAGACAGTCACCCGAGGCTGGAATTGAACCCAGGTCCCTGGGGCTGTGAGGTAGCAGTACTAACCACTGAGCCACCGTGCCGCCCAATTCTCTGCTATAGAAAGAGCTGAATGTTTTCAAGAAGGAGTTTGATATAGTTCTTAGGGCTAAAAGTATGGGAAGAAAAGCAGGAACAGGATATTAAGTTGGATGATCAGCGATGATCATATTGAAAAGCATAATAAACTGAATGGTTGAATGGCCTACTCCTGCTCTTATATTCTATTTTTATTTGTGTCTCACCAATCATCTCCACCTCCTTCATTCTGACAGTAAATTGAGATGTTCAGATCGTGAGGATTGGAGGGAGCATTGTTTGGAGCAGGGACACAACAATGATCCATGAGGGGAGCTGAATGTGTTAAAAGTGCTTTAATATCTTATTAGTAACAAGTGCAAGGACTTCATCGATTCCTTACATGGTTACTTAATCTTCCAATTCTGAAAGAGTCTACATGGCACAGAAGTAAACCATTTGAAATATTCAGCCTATCCTGGTATTTATATCCCACTTGACCCTCTCACCCTTCCTCATCTAATCATTAGTAAAGGCCTCAATTCCTTTCTCCCTCATATGTTTCGCCAGGCTCCCCAAAATCTGCATCAAAATGTTCAGTTTAACAGCTCCCTATGAGAGAGGTCTCTCTTGAATCATGTGGTTTTTATGTCAACACCTAAGAGTTTGGGTTTGAGGAGAAGGTCAAAGAGAAGGCAAGGACAAGTACTGTTTCCAGACTTGGGCTTTCTTTGAACCCTGTTTATGTCGTATGAATACAAATGCTGTTATATGTGGTAATTGTGATATTTCAGTCTCTGTGTTTATCTTTGCACGATTAAGAGATCATTCCCTGAACTCCATTGCTCTTTCGCCTTCTGTGTTGTCTATCTCCTCCCCACTGTGTTATTATGTGGGAAGCAGCTCCATGACATCATCACAAAGTGTCTCCACAATCCTAAAGCCCTGACGCAAGTTCTAATTTCTCAACAGGAGGCAGATCATTCAGCCCCTTTACCTGATCCAACTTCAATAATATCATAGCTGGTTGGATTGTAGACTGTGGCCTCAATTCCACTTTCATGCCATGCTGCAACCTGTGAAAATCACTGCAGTCCAAATGTATACCTCAGTGATGTTCTTATTCTGATGGCCTCCAGTTTGGCTCTTCCTCATCAATGCACACACTCTATGCTCTGGAACAGGGACCCCTCAACTTTCTCTTTTACACAGAGGAGACCAAAGGTGGTTCATCATGTCTGACAGATCTAACCTTACTTTTCTTTCTTTTCCTGAAAATTCTTTATGCACCCTCTCTAATTCCTCAATTTTAAAGCATAGTTTTATAATTTATAAACAGTTTCCAATATCATATTCCCAGTAATTGCAAAAATAAATTCCTTTAGTATTTTTACATTTCATAGAATCCCTACAGTGTGGAAGCAGGCCATTTGACCCATTGAGTCCATATCAGCCCTCCACAAAGCATCCCACCCAGACCCACCCCCTAGCTTATCCCTGCATTTCCCCACCCTAGACACTATGGGCAATTTAGCATGGCCAATCCACCTAACCTGCACATCTTTGGACCATGGGAAGAAACCAGAGTACCTGGAAGAAACTCATGCAAACACAGGTAGTCGCCCAAGGCTGGAATCAAACCTAGGGCCCTGGTGCTATGAGGCAGCAGTGCTAACCACTGAGCCACCATACATTACCTGTTCACCTCACAGTGACACTACTAAGATTTTCTGTATTTTGGTTTGTATTTTACTGTTTTGTTTTATGTCGCTTGATGGCTTAATTTCTAAGCTTCATTTAGCTTCTGAATTTTCTTTTTGTCTCCACTGCTGCTATCCATTTGTGTTCTCCCTCATACTGCTCTGATCAGACAATCTGATCAGCTACCTCTGATGGTTCTCTCCTTTCCACTAGCTCACAGGACAAAACTTCCTCTGGGTTGCCCTGTGCCCTTGTCCTAAACTCACATCTTTCCCCACTCTCTCTCCTATCTCCCTGTACCCTCTCCAAGCACAGCTCATCTTTTCCAAGAGACCCACCTCCTGATCCCTTGACCGTAATTCCACTGAACTGCTGATGGTCAACCTTCTGTGCCTCATTACACATCAGATCCAGAATAGCCTAATCCTTGGTTGGGTCCATAACATATTGTTCTCAGAAACTATCCTGAATACACTCTATGAATTCTTCCTCATGGCTTCCTGTGCCAACCTGACTACCCCCATCTACCTGAAGTTTAAAATCACCATGATTAATGTACTGCATTTGTTACATGCCCCCAATGTCTGCTGATTTATTCCATGTCCCACCATATAGCTGCTATGAGGGGTCCAGTAGACTCGTCTTACCAGTGTCTTTTATCCATTTTTATTTCTCATCTCTACCCATATGGATTCCACACCTTCCCATTCAACATAATTTTTGTTATTGTACTTACTCAATGCCACACCAACAATGCTACCCCACCAACCTTTCCTTTCTGTCTGTCTTATCAGAAAGTCACACACTCTTGGACATATCGTACCCAGTTTTGACCTCCTTGTAACCGTGGCTCGTAATGGCTATAAGATCATACTCACTAACCTCTATCTCTGTGATTAATTCATCTATTTTGTTCTGAATACTATGCACATTCAAATAAACAGCCATTAATTTTGCCTTTTTACCATTTATTCATCTTTTGAGATTGAGTGCATAGCATTAGCTTGGAATTGATAGCGGGCTAGGGTAAGAATTAGTGAATGGGATTAGACTGGAGTTGATAAGGGGCTCTGTAGAATCATCTAATGGGACTAGATTTTGTATGGTACAGAATTGTGTTGTTTGTGCCAATGGGATTATTTTAGGATTGACATAATGTATTGAGCAAAAAAAAACATACAGTGAGTTAAAAAGATTAGTTTATTTTTGATACAGGGTTATCTAGAGTGAGAGAATGGGATTAAATTTGGGTTAATAAAAGATCATGTCAAGTGAGCTTTTGGTACTATCTGTATTTTGGGCTTGATACAGGATAATGTTTGAGCTAATGGGAGAAGTTTTGCTTTGATATGGGGTCATGGAGAGTGATCTAATGGGTTTGTTTTAGAACTGATACAGAGTCTTGTAGAGTTGCACTAATGGAATTAGTTTGATTTGGAAACAGGGTTATTTTGAGTGAGCTAGAGGGATTATTTTGGGATTGATACAGGGTCAGGTAAAGTGACCTAATGGGATTAGGTTGGGTTTAACGGATATCTCTGCCAAGTGAACTAATGGGATTAGTTTGAGATTTATACAGGCTCCTTTAGTTTGAGTGAGTTGTGAGCATGGGTTTTGATGCATGATCGTGCGAGATTTGTGGAGACCATGTGGAGTGATTACATGGGATTTGTTTGGGTTGTTACAGGGTCACATAGAGTGAATTTGATAGTATTCATTTAGGATGACAATGTGATATATGGTGTAAACTAATGGGATTAATTTGATTTTGATACAGAGTCATGTAGAGGAAGCTAATGAGATTTGTACAGGATCATGTGGAGTGATCTATTGAGATTAGTTTGGGTTGGATACATGTTCATATAGAGTCAGCAAATGCAATTACTTTGCGGTTGTTGGAGGGGGTCTTGTCAAATGATCTAGTGGGATTACTACTGGTTTGAAACACGGTCACATAGAGTGTGCTATTGGGATTTGTTTTGAATTTGATAGATGGTCAAGTAGAGTCAGCTAAGAACATTACCTTGGAATTGATAGAGTCAATAGTGAGTAGGATTATATTGGTCTTGTTAGAAGGCTCTGTGGAGTCATCTAAAGGGAATAGATTGTGTTTTGATAGAGGTTCTTGTAGAGTGAGCTAGTGGATTTCATTTATGTTTCATACAGGGCCAATGTAACATTGTGTAGCGTGGGATAATGAAATTAGTGAGGGATTGATACATGAACGTGTTGAGTGAGGTAATGGAATTAACGAGGTCAGGGTCATCAAGAGTGAGAATCTGGGATTAATTTGAGACTGTGTTTGGAAAACTACAAGACATTCACAATGGTGTGAAAGTCTTGCAATCTCTACTTTTCCAGATTTTAGATTCCCAATTGAACCTTCTCTTTTTCAATTATAAAATGTCTCCCAGTTTCCAAGCCTTTCCTCATCAAGTCCAATCCAGGCACTTTTGATATAAATTGCCAGAATATTTAGTCCATTTCCAACAATTCCAACATCCTCCTAATCTTGAATCATCTACAGCCTGATGTTACCTTTGTGAAAGAATCCTCGTCAGTGCTGATTCCCTGCATTGACATTCCCAGTGATGCTGTTGATGTAACCATTTCCCCTCGCTGAGAGTGTTCAGAGTGAACAAGTTCCTCATCATCCAAAATGTTGGTTGGATTTATCTGGAAACGGAGACAGAGGTAGGAAAGCTGAAGCAGGAAGTTCATACTCCATCTGCTTTAGGTGGAAGGAGGAGGGGTGGCACAGTAGCTAGCTGCCTCACAGCACCAGGGACCTGGGTTCAATTCCAGCTGTGGGCGACTGTGTGAAGTTTGCATATTCTCCCCATGTCTGCGTGTGTCCCCTCTGGATGCTCCAGTTTTCTCCCACATCATAAAGATGTGCAAGCTGGGTGGATTGGTCATGCTACATAGCTTATAGTGCCCATGGATATGCAGGATAGGTGGATTAGTCATGGGAATGCAGGGTTACAGGGAGAGGGTGGGATGCTCTTCACAGGGTCAGTGTGGACTCTATGGGCCAAATGGCCTGCTTCTACATTGTTGAGATTCTATGATCCTAAGGTGGATGCAAATATAGAGTTTGAGAAGTTGGACTGTGAAGTTCTTGAACAGATTGATAGAAGAAGAATGGAGGTATTAGAAGTTTTGGAAGATTTAAAAGTGGATAAATCCCCAGGTCCAGAAAAGTTGTATCTAAGGCTGTTGCGGGAGATGAGGGAGGAAATTACAGGGGACCACTAAACAAATATCGAAGAACTTTAGGCGCTGGAACTCAGAAACAAAACCAGAAATTGCGGGAAAATCTCAACAGGTTTGGCTGCATCTGTGAACAGAAAGCAGAGTTAACATTTCAGGTCCAGTGACCCTTCTTCAGAACTTTCCTAATCACAGATGCTGCCAGATCTGCTGAGTTTTTCCAGTTATTTTGTTTAGGAAATTTACAGGGATTCTGATCCAAATTTTTAAATTATCTATGGCTGCAGGGAACAGCTAATGTGGCTCCATGTTACAAGAAGGTTTCTGGAGATAGTCCGGTGAATCTATCACCAGTGATGGGGAAACTATTAATTAAAATGAATCTCTATTTAGAGAGGCAAGATTTGATCAGGGATAGTCAGTATGACTTTGTAAGAGGGAGGTCATGTCTAACAAATCTCGTGGAATATTTCAAGGACGTGACCCTGTGTTTGGATGATGGTAGGGCAGTTGATGTAGTATTTATGGATTTCAGCAAGCCTTTAACAAGGCCCCAAATTGGAAACTGATAAAGAAGGTAATAGCTCATGGGATTCAGGGTAACTTGGTAAGATGGATCCAAGATTGACTTAGTGACAGGAGACAGAGGTTGGTGGTAGAAGGCTGCTTGTGTGACTCGAGCCCAGTGTTTTGTACTGTAACACATGAATTAGTACTGGGTCCCTTTTTATTTGTGATATTTATAAACTATGTAGATGAGAATATAGTAGGGGGGTGATAAGTAAATTTGTGGATGACACAAGGATTGGCTGGGTGGTTGACAGTGAGGAGGAAGGTGTTAGATTAGAAGAGGATGAAAATGGATTGGTCAGATGGACCAATCAGTAGAAGTTGGAATTTAACCCTGATAGATGTGAGATGATGCAGTTTCGAAGAAAGAACAAGACAAGGGATTTCTCAATGAATAGTAGAACACTAGGAAACTCAGAGGAACAGAGGGGCCTTGAGGTGCTTGTCCGCAAATCACTGAAGGTGGCAGGACAGGTTAACGAGATAGTTAAGAAGGCATATATAGGACTCTTGCTTTTATCGGTACTGGCATTGATAATAAGACGGTGAAGGGGGACATGAAGGGTTTATTTAGGCTACATCTGGAGCACTGTGTGCAGTTCTGGTCTGCGCACTATAGGAAAAATGAGCTTACACTGAAGGGGGTGCAGAGATTCACCAGGATGTCACCTGGGCTGGAACATTTTAGCAATGAAGAGAAAGTGGATAAGCTTGGGTTGTTTTCAGTGGAGCAGAGAAGGTTGAAGGGGGACCCAATAGAGGTGTATAAGATTATGGCATTGAGTATAGTAGTTGGGATGTTATGTAATAGTTGTATAAGTCATTGGTGAGGCCACACTTGGAGTGTTGTGTACAGCTTTGGTCACCCTGTTAGAAGAAAGATGTAGTTAAACTGGAAAGTGTGCAAAGAAGATTTATGAGGATGTTGCCAGGACTAGTAAGCCTGAGTTATAGGGAGAGGTTGGCCAGGATAGGACTTTATTCCTTGGAACGTAGGAGATTGAGGGGTGACCTTATTGAGATGTATAAAATCATGAGGGGTATAGATAGGATGAATGCATAAAGTCTTTTTTCCCAGGGATGGGGAATTCAAAACCAGAGGGCATCAATTTAAGGTGAGAGGGGGAAGATTTAAGAAAGACCTGAGGGGCAACTTCTTCACGCAGAGAGTGGTACGTATATGGAATGGACTGCCAGAGAAAGTGGTTGAGGCAGGTACGATAGCAAAATTTTAAAAAAACATTTGGATAGGTACAAGGATGAGAAGAGTTTAGTTGTATATGGACCAAATGTAGGTAATTGGAACTAACTGAGTGGGCACCATGGTCAGAATGGACCAGTTTGGGCCAAAGGCCTGTTTCTATGCTGTATTGCTCAATGACATTATGATTATCAGGGGCATGGACAAGGAGAATAGAAAGCTGCTGTTCCCCTTCACCAAAGGATAAATAACAAGGGGAATAATATAAAACGAAGGCTGCTGGTTTAGAGGGGAATTAAGGAAATCATTTTTTACTCAGAAGGTGGTGTATATCTGGAATGCACTGCCTATGAGGGTAGTTGAGGTGGGAAAGTTCACAATCTTTAAAAAGTACTTGACTGAGTGCTTGATATGTGAGCCTTGTGTGGGAAAGCGGGACTAATGGATATATTAGTGTATTTCTGATGGTAAAAGCTGCATCTTTTCTTTATGATTCTATATGACAGAACCAAAGAAAGATCCAAAATGGACAGAAGGAGACAGATTGACTGCACACATCCAACAATCACTACGTGTAAAATCTGCAAAGCATCATCTATGATTTCCCTTGCAAATTCTGTAAAACATTCCCTCCGTTTCCTGTCTATATCAGCCATTTGTTTTTCTTTCCATCATGGGTTGTGGACATCATTAGCACAGCCTGCATTCGGTGCAAATTTCTAATTACTTGTTTGGAGCAGCAGGAGCGCGAGCCAGGGTGCCGACGGGAAGGTAAGGTTTTTTCCTTATAAAAACTTACCTCGTGCAGCAGCGGCCTTCTTGTTTGGAAAAGCGGGTGTGTGGAGAGAATGCGAGCCAGGAAGGAACTAATATATTCGGGCATTGGCAGGGTCCGTGATGGCTCGGATCGTGTCTTCAAGATCCTTAAGGGGGAGGGTGAGCAACCAGCAGTCATGGTACACATCGCTACCAATGACATAGGTAGAAAAAGGACTGAGAATGTGAAAAATGAGTACAGAGAGTTAGGTTGGAAGCTGAAGTCCAGGACAAGCAGGGTAGTTATCTCTGGATTACTAGCATGACAACAAGGTAAGAAATAGGGAGACAGTGCAACTAAACATGTGGCTACAGGGCTGGTGTAGGAGGGAGGGCTTCCATTACGTGGATAATTGGAGCACATTCTGGGGAAGGTGAGACCTGTACAGTAAGGACAGGTTGCACCTGAACCAGAAGGGCACAAATATCCTGGGAGGGAGGTTTGCTCAAGCTATACGGGATGGTTTAAACAAGATTGGCAGGGGGTGGGGAACCGGACTTGTAATTCAGAGGATGAGGTATTCAGCCTTCCAATAGACACAACAGGGAGTGAGGGTTGTTAATAAAGAAATGCAGTCGATGAAGCATAATTGTGGACACAGAGATGGCTTGAGGTGTGTATACTTCAATGCTAGAAGTATTAGAAATAAGGCGGACGAACTTAGAGCATGGGTCAGTACTTGGAACTACGATATTGTGGCCATTACAGAAACTTGGGTACTCAGGGACAGGAATGGTTGTTGGAAGTTCCGGGATTTAGATGCTTTAAAAGAAATAGGGAACGTGGAAAGAGAGGCGGGGGAGTGGCATTGCTAGTCAGGGCTAGTATAGCAGCTATTGAAAGGCAGTTCGAGAATGATATGTCTACAGAGTCAGTTTGGGTTGAGGTCAGGAACAAGAAAGGAGCAGTCACTTTGTTGGGGGGGTGGTGTTTACAGGCCCCCTAATAGTTGCAGAGAAGTGGAGGAGTGGATTGGGAGGCAGATACTGGAAAGGTGCAGAAGTCACAGGGTTGTAGTCATGGGTGACTTCAACTTTCCAAATATTGATTGGAAACTTTTTAGTTGTAATAGTTTAGATGGAGCGGATTTTGTCCAGCGTGTTCAGGAATGATTCCTGACACAGTACGTAGATAGACAAACACGAGGAGAGGCCACTTTGGGTTTGGTGCTTAGCAATGAACCGGGCCAAGTGTTAGACCTGTTGGTAGGAGAGCATTTTGGCGGTAGCAATCATAACTCTGTTACTTTTACAATAGTCATGGAAAAGGATAGGTACATACAGCAGGGTAAGGTTTATAACTGGGGGAAGGGTAATTACAATTCTGTTAGGCAAGAACTGGGTAACATAAAATGAGAACAGATGCTGTCAGGGAAGAGCACTATTGAAATGTGGAGATTGTTTAAGGAATTCATACTGTGTGTGCTCGATATGTTTGTCCCTCACAGGCAGGGAAGATGCATTCAAGTTAGGGAGCCTCAAGAGAGGTCGAACGACTGGTTAAGAGGAAGAAGGATGCTTATATAAGGTTTAGGAAACAAGGAACGGAAAAGGCTCTAGAGGGATACAAGTTATCCAGGTAGGAGCTGAAGAAAGAGCTTAGGAGAGCTATAAGGGGGCATGAGAAAATCTTGGTAGATAGGATCAAGGAAAACCCTAAGGCTTTTTACACGTACGTGAGGAATAAGAGAATGCCCAGAGAAAGGATAGGGCCGATCAAGGATTGTAAAGGGAATTTGTGCACAGACCCTAAACAGATAGGACAGGTCCTTAATGAATACTTTTCTTCAGTATTCAGAACTGAGAGGGACCTAGTTGTAGAGGAGGACAGTGTGAAACAGTCTGGTAGGCTAGAACAGGTCGATGTTAGTAAGGAAGATGTGCTAGGAATTTTGAGGAACTTGAAGATTGATAAGTCCCCCGGGCCGGATGGGATTTATCCAAGGATTCTATGGGAAGCAAGGGAAGAGATCACAGGGCCTTTGGCAATGATCTTTTCGTCCTCACTGTCCACGGGTATAGTGCCGGAAGATTGGAGAAAGGCAAACATCATTCCCTTGTTCAAAAAAGGAAATAGGGGTAACCCCGGAAATTACAGGCCAGTTAGTCTTACGTCAGTGGTGGGCAAATTATTGGAAAGGGCTCTGAGAGATAGGATTTATAATCACTTGGAAAGGCGCAGCTTGATTCGTGATAGTCAGCATGGATTTGTGAGGGGTAGATCATGCCTCACAAACCTTATTGAATTCTCTGAAGAGGTGACCAAACACGTGGATGAAGGTAGACCAGTGGATGTGGTATACATGGATTTAAGTAAGGCGTTTGATAAGGTTCCCCATGGCAGAAAGTAGGAGACAATGGGATAGGGGGAAATATGGCAGATTGGATTCAGAATTGGCTGATTCTTAGAAGACAAAAGGTGATAGTGGACAGAAAATATTCAACATGGTGCTCAGTTATGAGTGGTATACCACAAAGATCTGTTCTGGGTCCTCTTCTATTTGTGATTTTTGTAAATGATTTGGATGTAGGAGTGGAAGGGTGAATTAGTAAGTTCATGGACAATACGAAGGTGAGTCAAGTTGTGGATAGTGCGGAGGGCTGTTCTAGGTTACAAAGGGACATTAATAGGATGCAGAGCTGGGCTGAGAAGTGGCAGATGGAATTTAACCCTGAAAAGTGTGACGTGATTCATTTTAGAAGGACAAATTTGAAAGCAGAATACAGGGTTAAAGATTCTTGGCAGTGTGGAGGAGCAGAGGGATCTTGGGATTCATGTCCACAGTTCCCTGAAAGCTGCCACCCAGGTGGATAGAGTTGTTAAGAAGGCGTATGGTGTGTTAGCTTTCACTAATAGAGGGATTGAGTTCAAGAGCCATGAAGTTGTGCTCCAACTATACAAAAGCCTGGTTCGGCCACATCTGGAGTATTGTGTCCAGTTCTGGTTGCCTCGTTACAGGAAAGATGTGGAAGCATTGGAAAAGGTGCAGAGGAGATTTACCAGGATGTTACCTGGAATGGAGGGAAGGTCTTACGAGGAAAGGTTGAGAGAGCTAGGGCTTTTCTCTTTTGAACGACAAAGGATGAGAGGTGACTTGATAGAGGTGTACGAAATGATCAGAGGTATAGATAGAGTGGACAGTCAGAGACTTTTTCCCAGGGTGGAGGTAGCTATTATGAGGGGGCACAGTTTTAAAGTGAGTGGAGGTAGATATAGGGGAGACGTCAGAGGTAGGTTCTTTACTCAGAGAGTGGTCGGGACGTGGAATGCATTGCCAGAGAGGTAGTGAAGACGGCCTCATTAGGGGATTTAAGCGGCCATTAGATAGGTATATGGATGATAGTATAAGGTAGGAGTGGAGGTTAGATAGTCCTTAGGATTAGGGTAAAAGTTCGGCACAACATCGTGGGCCGAAGGGCCTGTACTGTGCTGTACTTTTCTATGTTCTATGTTCTATGTACCCTTGAACGGAGTGACTTGTTCAGTCGTATCAGAGGGCAGTCAAGAATAACTGTGGGTTTGTAGTCACATATAGGCCAAAACAGGTAATGATGACAGATTATCTTGCCTAAAGGACTTTAGTGAAGCAAATGGGTTCTTACAAAAACTGATGAGAGTTTCATGGTCACTGGACCTGAAACATTGAGTTTGATTTGTCTCCACAGACACTTCTAGACCCACTGAGTTTTTAAAGCAATTTCTGTTTTTGCCTCTGGATTACTAGTCCAATGACATTAACACAACACTAACAATCTTAGGGCTTGGTACAAATGTAACCAGCTATTCAGAGCTCTCTCCTCACATCGGTGTATTAGTTATGTAGACAGTGGATGCCTCACCAACTCCCGCTTTCCACCCAGCGATGATTCTGGTGTTAGTGTTGTCATGCTGATTGCTTGAGTGTCAAACTGTGGGCAGGCTGCCTGTGCATTCCCATCCTTATCCCTCTTCCCTTTCAGCCAGTATGTTTCAATCTCCACATTCCCCTCGAAAGAAGCAGAACGTGGAGTTAGACAGAACACAAAAGAAACAATAGTAATATGCCAGTGTGCTATCGAGTCCCAGACCCTATCCAGTGTTACATCTCAGTTCCGGTGCTCTAGCATAGTCTCAGTGTCTGTCCAGTGCTTCGCCTCTGGCCAGTGCTCTGTCCTAGTGCCAAGTTCTGCCCAGTACCATCTCTGCCTCAGTCCTCTGACCAGTGTTACATATCAGTACCAGTTCTCTGCCCCATGCCCTGTCCAAATCTCAGTGCTCTGCCTCGTTTACAGTGTCACACACACAAAGACACCCAAAGTTACAGTGTTGCACGTGTACTAACTGACTGACTGTCTCCACTACTTCCACTACAGGTGTCTGACTCTTCCAACCTGATTCCTATATGTCCTAACCCACTTCTGCCACTCCAATCCCATCCTAACTTACCCATGTTAGTCCAGAGCCTCCATACAGGCTGCCATCCTCCTGCTCCCCTTCCCTGTATCCTCCAGTTAAACAAAGGAAATGCACTGATCTCAGATACAACTGCATAATGACAAATGGTTCACAGCCCCATCAACTTCTTGTGGGCAAATTGAAATCTTGGCTAAAACCTATTCAAGTCACCCCACGACTCCCTTGTTGCCTCATGAAACCTAACTTTCAGGAAAGTTTGTGCATTTGAAAAACATATTGTCTAAACACAATGTTAGCCAGACAGACCTTAGTTAGAAACAGATGATATCTCAATTCCAAGCCTCATTGACAGTATGAGCCCTTGAAGGTGGTCAGAACTGTACCTTTATAGTTATCATGCCCCGTCGCTCAAAGATGAATGGGCTGTCTATAAGGTGCTCGTAGGTGGCGCCACTCAACTGTATGTGCATCTCCTGAGAGGAGAATTGGAAATAACGGTGGAAGGTTATATATTGAAACAACAACTGAAACTTCAGAGAATGGGAACAATAATATTGTGCTGTCTCAACAGGAAAACTCCACAGTATAATCCACAATGACAGAGTATTGCAGCACTGTGATTCACTGTAACACAGTAAAATGCAGAACATAGAACAGTACAGCACAGTCAGCAGTCTATGCCTGTGCTGACCATGATGCCATTCTAAATTAATCTCATCTGTCTGCATATGCTCGATATCCGTCTGTTCTCTTGACTGTCTAAGTGCCTCTTAAACATTGCTATCATATCTGCTTCTACCACTCCTCTGGCAGCACATTCCAGGCACCTACCACCCTTTGTGTAAACAATTTCTCTTGCATATCTCCTTTAAACTTACCCCTTCTCACCTTAAACCTATGCCGTCTAGTACTTGACATTTCCACCCTGGTAAAAAGACTCCAACTATCCACTCTATCCATGCCTCTCATAATTTTATATACTTTTGTCAGGTCACCCCCTCAGCCTCTGACGCCCTAGTGAAAACAATCCAAGTTTGTCCAATCTCTGCTTATAGCTAATATGCTCCAATGCGAGCAACATCCTAGTAAACCTCTTTGCACCCTTTCAAAAGCCTCCAAATCCTTACTACGTTATGGTGACCAGAACTGCACACAGTACTCCAAATGTGACCTACTTAAAGTCTCATACAACTGCAATATGACTTGCCAACTTTTATACTCTAAGCCCTGACCAATGAAGGCAAGTATACTGTACTACTTCTTTACCACCTTATCCATTTTGGTCAGCACTGCTGCCTCACAGCAAAAGGCACCCAGGTTCGATTCCACCCTCGAGTAACTGTCTGTGTGGAGATTGCACATTCTTCCCGTGTCTGCGTGGGGTTCCTCCGGGTGTTCTGGTTTTCTCCCACAGTCTAAAGATGTGCAGGTTAGGTGGATTGGCCATGCTAAATTGCCCCTAGTGTTCAGGGATGTGCACATTAGGTGGGTTATAGGGGGATGGGTCTGGGTGGGATGCTCTGAGGGTCAGTGTGGACTTGTTGGGCCGAAGAGCCCGTTTCCACACTGTAGGGATTCTATGATTCTCTGAATACGCTACATGCCACGAGCTCAGCAACACCCCAGGCCTGCATAAAGTATAAAGGCTGTCCACCAGCTTAAGAACAAGGCTGCTGGAGCACTGAGGCATTGAAGTGTGGAGACAAAGAGTTCCTGCTGCAATTACACATCCTTCCTTCCTTACCTAGAAAGAGTAGGGTATCCCTTGAGAGCTCCGAGATGCTACAGTCACTATTTTGTATTCTTCCCTTATTAGATCTCCCAAAATGCATCACCCCATACTTATCAGAATTAAATTCCATCTACCATTGCTCTGACCAAATTACCAGCAATATCAGACGGTAGCCTCAGACAATCCTCCTCACAATCAACAACAGCACAACTTTTTGTGTCATATGCAAGCTTACTAATTAAACCTTCTACATTAATGTCCAAGTTGTTAACATACATAACAAATGTCAAGAATTCTAGCATCGATCCCTATGGTACACTGCTGGTCACAGGCTTCAATTACAAAAACAGCCTCCACCATCACCTGCTATTTGTAAGCCAGTTTTGAATCCAGTTTACCAACTTGCCTTGGGTACCATGGGCACTCATCTTTTGGACCAACCTTCTATATGGGACCTTGTCAAAAGCCAAATAGAAGTCCATGTAAACCACATTAACTGTATTACTGTCATCAGTATACATCATAAGCTTTTTTTAAAAAACTCTCATCCATTCAGGGTGGCACGGTGGCTCAGTGGCTCAGTGGTTAGCACTGCTGCCTCACAGTGCCAGGAACCCAGGTTCAATTCCACCCTTGGGTGACTTTCTGTGTGGAGTTTGCACGTTCTCTGTGTGGGTTTCTCCAGGTACTCCAGTTTCCTCCCACAGTCCAAAGATGCGCAGGCTAGGTGGATTGCCCATGCTAAATTGTCCACACTGTTCAGGAATGTGTAGATTAGGTGGATGGGATGCTCTGAGGGTCAGTGTGGACTTGTTGGGCTGAAGGGCCTGTTTCCACACTGTAGGGATTCTATGATCATATATTTAGTCACCTTTCATAAAACTTAATCACTCCCTCCATAAAATCCGTGCTGACTATCCCTGATCAATTCCTACATTTCCAAGCGTTGTTTAATCCTGTCCTTATGAACTTTTTCCAATAATTTCCCTGACATCAGACTAACTGGCCAGTATAATTACCTTGCCTATCTCTGCTTCTCATCTTGGACAAAAGAACTATATAAGATATTCTCAAGTCATCTGTCACATTGCTTGTGGCTAATAAAGTAATAGATAACTCCGCAAAGGACCTGACTTTGTTACTTTACATCAGGCCCTGGGTTTAATGCACCTGTATGCCAGTTGATACATCTAATAGATCCTCCTTACTAATATTACATGTTCTAGAACCTGACCATCCAAACTGAAATCCCTGGTTACAATGTCTTTACTCTGTGAATACAGATGAGAAGTAAACATTTAAGGCCTGACCCATGTCCACTGGCTCCACGAACAGGTTGCTTCATTGGTATCTAATGGATCCCACCCTTTCCCTGGAATCCTGCCACTCTTAGTATACTTATAAAATGTACTTATACTTATAAATCCCATCTGTCAAAGATATTTTGTGGACTGTCTTTGCCCTCCTAATTTCCTTTTTATAGAACCCCTACACTCTCTATACTTTTGAAGGGCTTCCCCTGTTTTTAATGCACTGTACCTGACATAAGCTTCCTTTTTTTACTTTTCAAACTCGCGATACCCTTGGATTTGCTGCCCTTGCCCTTCACTTTTAGAGGAATATGCTGGCCCTGAATTCTCATGAAACTACTTTTAAAACACTCTCACTTTCCAGATGTAGACTTATGTGTTAGTAGCTGCTACCAGTCTACATTTGCCAGATCCTGTCTCAAGATTGAAATTGGCCTTCCTCCAGTTAAGACACTTAACTTCTGCATTTTCTTTATCCCTTTCCATAATGATTTTGAAACTTAGAGTAATGATCACCATCCCAATTTGCCAGCTGATCAATGTTGGACTGTAACCTGAAACCATCCTCCTCACTACCAACACCAATTTTTGTGCAATCTGCACATTTACGAATTAAACATTTGACATTCACACCCAAGTCATAGTTAAGTGTTTGTTCATCAGCATAGATGTGGCAAAGCAAAAGGCCAGTTTATTTGCTCGTATGAATATGTAATTCACCGTAACAAAGTAATTCAGCATTGTAATTCATGACAATAGTGTTACACAGCACTGTAACGCTAGAGCAATTCAGAATTAATTCACAGTAACAGAGCAGAGCATTAAGGGAAAGAAAACAATGTACAAAAGTTGCAGAGTTACTTTCATCTAGAGTGCCATCCATTGTGTCTAAGTTGCCACCTACTGCATAGAAAGGGACACACTGACTGCACCATGATGTACATTGGAAAACATAGCAATGACTGTTGCAGTATCTCCTCATTTTGCCTTTAAGAGTCAACAACAACTTTGACTTATACTGGGTTTTTTACAGATTGAAATATTTCAACAGAGCCTGAGCCAAGATAGTGATATTAAGCCAGATGACCAAAGACCCTGTAGAAGAGGTCAGTTTTATGGTGTGGCTTCATGGTGGGAAGTGAGATTAAGAGGCAGGAAGTGTAAAACGTAGGAGCAGGAGAAGGCCGTTTAACCCTTCAAGCCTACTCCACTATTTGATAAGATCATGACTGACCTTGCTGCATTCTCACTTTCCTGACTTTCCCCATCATCCTTGACTCTTTTCTCTATCAAAAATCTGTAATTTTAAAGACTTAGCTTCAACTACCTTATGGGAAAAGAGTTTCACTGACTAACAACTCAAAGAAAAGAATCTCTTCTTTTAAAGGAGCGATTTTTATTCTTAAACTATGCCTCCTGATCCTAATTCCCCCCATGACAGAAACATCCTCTCAGCATCCACTCTGCCAAGTCCTTTCAAACCTTAAGTGTTTCAATAAGATCACCTCTCATTCTTCTAAACTCCAAAAGATATACATCTAATCTGCTTAACATTTGATCAGAAGACAATTCCCTTCGACCTCTGGAGAAATGGGATTAATGTAGATGGGTTGGTGCAGACACTTCTGTGCTGTATGACTCCATGACCCAAAGAATGAGTCAAGTGAAACTTCCATAAACTGCATCTCAAGCAATTATATATTTTATTTTCAAATAAAGTGATCAAAATTGTACACAGTACTCCAGATGTGGACTAACTAAGAACTTGTAGAGCTGCAGTAAAGCTTTCCTACTTTATATTCTATTTCCCTTACAATAAATGTTAACATTTACCTTCCTAATCATTTGACGTACCTGCATACTAACTTCATGTGATTCATGAGCTAGGACACACAGATCCCTCAGTACCCCAGAGTTCTGCAATCTCTGTCTATTTAAATAATATGTTGCTTTTCTGTTCTCCCTGTCAAAATGGACAATTTCTCACAGATACACGCATGATATTCCAACTGTTAAATTTTGCCTATTCACTTAAACTGTTCATATCCCTTTGTAAATACTCAGCCTCTTCTTGATAAGTTTACTTTCCCATCTATTTTGGTGTCATTGTCAAATTTAGCAAGAAGACAATAGTAAAAGATTGTTAATGGCTGAAGACCCAGCATTCATCCATGTAGAACTCAGTCATTGCATCTTTTCAACCCAAAAGAGACCCCTTTATCCTAACTCTGCTTCTTGTTCATGGACCAATCCCATATCCATGATAATTATGTTACACACTATATCATACCCTTTTAACTTATGGAACAATCTATGACATGGCCCTTTAGGAAGTGTCTCTTAGAAAGAACTGCTTGATACTCAATTGTGAGGGGGACAGACAGGAGATTCTGTGGCCGTAGAAGACACACCAGGATGGTGTGTTGCCTCC